AAACTCCGTTATTATGGCCAGTTTTGCTCATAAGAGGCTGCAAGGAGGAAAAGCTCTTCATTTTAAAGTTATTACTGTTGCTAATTTAAGCGTACCCACCGTAACCAAACTTTTACAAAGTTGTTTTGAAATTCTCAAGATCATCTCACCTAGTACTCAGCACTAAAACAGTATTATAACACTATAAAATTAAACACTGCACGTTCTGAATTGCATTTTGTGTTCATTAGGGGGTGTTTTGAAATGTCTCTTAAATGTTTAGTTATTTTAATAACGATGTATAAGTGGTGTATAATTGAGTGTTCGTCCTTTGGGTCTGTGAAAGCCTTCACACAGGCTGATAATTTAAACATGGACGAACTTCCAGCATCTCGCTCCACGGACGTAGCAGGAGATGGTGTATCAGTGTGGATCCATAACGATTCATCTGTTAAACAAGCAATCAGATGTGCTACTTCGTAGTCGATCGGCTCTTTAACAGCAAACTTAACGTGGTCTAATCTAGGCCAGCCAGTTTTGCTCAAAGTTTTTCTTAAAGTAATTAACGGCGCTAAAGTTGAGAACACGTAATCTGGAAGAAGTTACTAGTATCGAAAAGACTAAAGGCCATGAAGCTGGCTGATGTGAGCGAGTTAATTTGGCTTACGGTTAAAAAATATTTACCAGATGAGCTTGCGCCAAATTCTAATGACGAAAATTAATTTTTCGAGCAGAGAGGAGAGTGGAGAGAAAGCAACGAGCCAGTTTTCCTTGAAGACCAGTTACCAGTCAAGTACTTCGGTCCCTCCAAGTTCCTCCAATTCGTCAGTAGGTCAGTGCCCAGCGTATAGAGAATTCGGCAACTTTCGCAGTTTAGATCCATGTCTCAAGATGAGTATCATATTTATTTCTTCTTCAGTTTGGATCTTTAAACGCATCTTTACTAGTTTGATTTTGGCTTCGGGTATATGGCGTTCACTACACAGGCGATATTCCAGTATTATCCGTGATTTGCAGTATCTAGCGGTTATTTTGCGTGTTAAGTTAGAACTGAATTTTTTCTTCACAACACTTTATTTAGATTATTCATTGACTGGCTTCCGTGGTCTTCAACGCACATACACAATCATAGCCTTAGCGCCTCTGACGTCAGCTTGAGAAATGAAAATAAAAAATATTTACAGGTAAATAATTCATAGTAAATTATTTATTGAGATCTCAATAAATAAACAATTGCCATAATACCTAATTTACTTTTAGAGATAGAGGGAGAAGAAGACAACTAAAACGCCGAGGAAAAAAGTTATCTTTCCTAAATAAACTACATTTTCTCCTTTCCAATTCCAACCGAGATTTTGTCTCGGAATTTCACAATTGTATTGAAATTAAGTGAGACACCCAGAAGAAAAAAGTAGCAAAAAGGGTGTCCTAAAAAAATCACTGTTGAGCCCCCGATTTATGGAGAAATAAAAGTTGTCATATGGTGTGGTTATGTCAATTTGGGATATATTTAGATAATGGAACATGTC